AAAAAAAAAAAAAAAAAAAAGGAAAAAAAAGGAAAAAAAACACTGAAAAAAATGAACGTAGAAAAAACCAGAAAATTTTAAAAAACGAGCAAGTAGCCATACCGGTCATGAAAGATAAGAAAGAAGAAAAGAAATGATAATGAAAAAAATGATAACAAAAATTTCAGTGATTAAAAAAAAAAAAAAAACGAAGCGATTACAAGAAATTATACATTACTGCTGACAGTTATGACGCAACAGCAAAAACGTTCCGGAGACGCAGTATGACAAGTATTATGGTAAAAATGACATAGAAAAAATTAGATAAGGAAGTGTAACAGACCAAACACCTCTACAGTCGTTACTGGCAGTGAACGATTACACCTGGAATATAATGATCTACGTCCATCAGGAGCGCCGTTGGCTGACCTGTAACAAAGCACATAAACACATTTGAATGATGCATGCCAAAAATGGATAAGCGCCAATTCGTAACGAGAAATTCACCAGTCTGCTCCAAAATATTCGGAAAAGCCATGTCGGCAATATGACGTCTACAATCTCAAATTTTCCACCCACACACTTGAAGTACACATGTGTATAATACGTATAACTGCAGTTAATGGTACATATACATTCTCTGTTTTTTTTTTTCTCACGCGACCCTCTAAACAGCGATAATTAAACTTCGTCACCGCTACGATTTCCATGTGCTTTCTTCTCAAATTTTATTAATGGTAGACTTTGTTCCTTTCGTAATTCGAAGTCGTCATACCAGCACCATGCTGTCTGCACCTTACGGCCAAAATTACTTCTTTTTACCAGCTGCCCAAATAACTAGAGCCTCAATACACCCTCTTTCGAAACATACTCTTTGCTGAGTCAATTAAAGCTTCCAATTTATCGTTATTGACGTTTACTTCGAACTTTTTTGTTTGCTCCTCATCCTTCATAGTCCCTTCAATAAATTTCTGTACCCGTCTACGAGAAATCTACGAAAAACCCGTAATCTCAAAATAAAATGAATCATACTTGGGAACTGCATCACATTTAGTACGTTAGCAGAACACGGTCCTTATACTTTTGCAAAAGTAATGGACTTTTCCACCACATATACCTCTTTGATCTAACAAACTGCTTCTTCTACCTTGGCACAGTTAGCTAAAAATGTAATCGAACTTTGTAATTGGAATTCTAAACTTTTAATTAAAAACATGCAGAGGCAAGAGGACAGAAACTGGTTTCACCGACAGATATTATACACTAAAAAATGAAATAGTCGCGAATAGGGATAGTGTCGTGCCAAATGCTAGTTTATCCCTGAGCTAGTTTCTTTTACAGTAGCATATCAATTTTATTCTTCATTCTATCTCCTGCCAACCACACTCTTGTCCCCCATTGGCGTAGCTTAAAGTTAGCACGGAAAAGCTTATTCTGAATCCACTACGCACATTTTGCAAACTAATTG